TTTGCTTTATCTGTAGGTATTCAGTCAGTGACTCAAAAACCAAAAACTTAATGAGAAATTATAGCTAAATGTTTTATCTACAAAAATGAAAATTTTCGTTTTATATTCATTCTACTTTTCATTTGAAGAGTCATGGAATTTAAAGGATCTTATCTTTATCACTTGTCATATTTTATAGCAGTCTACACAAAAGTCCAGATCAAAAACTGGCGATTCACCTCATCATTTCAGGTTTTTGGAAATGTTTGCTATTCATCAGTTATTCATAAAATATTTATATAAACATACTTTATAGGTGACAAAAAGGATGCTGTAGCTTCTGCAGCTATATAGAAATACTTAAAGAACACTGCTTAGTTACAGTTTGTCATGACTGTTTGCTCAGATTTTAAGATGGTTAAAGAATTTGTTTAAACTGTCCTGTGGAAAGTGGATACACCTGTTAATGGAATCTTGAACTGCAGCTGCAGATTAGAAACAGTTTTGTCATGTGGGCAAGATGTTTCACAAACTTTCCTCTGGAATGTTGGCGTACCTGGTTTGACCACCATGCACTGGCAAAGTGTTAGAGTGTAGTAAATCTCTTAAGACTCTGCTGTGAGTTAATTAATCTGTTTCAAAGTGAGAATGAGGATACAAAACTGGTGCAGCCAGATTCACTGAATAAAAGGAGCTTTTGTTCTGGCGAACATCTCAACCTCTTTCCTGGGCCCATTTCAAGTCCCAGATACTTAGAATAAATTAATTTATGAGCCGCTTTAATTTGTTAAATGTGATTTTAAGTCATGATACTTTGATAACAGTAAAGATTTGTAAGCTGTAATATCATGATTTTTAGGAGGAAATCAGAAACCACATCTCTGTTAACAGTAGATTTATAATGCTCTGCAAAACAACATATCATTAAAATGGCTCTATTCTGAATGTATATTTCACAGAAAGCTGACACTTAGAGGATGGCACCTCACTTGTTCCTTCTCCTGTTAGCAGGTAATGGAAATGTTACAGTTCATATTTGTATATGCATATGTGGCTGAGCTACCCATTGATCACAGTTTTTCTACAGGTCTAATAGGAGCAGCAACAGCACAAGATAATACAACAGGTAACACATTCAGATTCACTGCATTACTCAAATTTTGAAGTTTATTGTTGTGATTTCACAGTGTATCCTATCAGAATAACAACAATTTCTAACAATGCCAGGAAAATATAATGAAAATAACCAGATAGTTTTAATTTTTTAAAAACAAAAATCAACAAAGTTAGAACCAGTAACTTGGGAAAAGCTAATAATTGCTATTTTACAAATAAAAGTGGGGTAAAATCTTTTAACAATTAGTAGGTTTTCCTCTAGCCTTCAATGTATTTTGAAGCATAATTACTGATCATAATTGGATATTATTTTAATAATCCCTAAGGTTTAAAAGTCATCTAAAACGTGCCCAATTGTATATCACTTCAGTCAGTGAGTAACATGACAGTACATAACATTTGCCACTAGAGGCCAGTCACAACCAGGAAAAGCATCACAGATAAAAATACCAATTTTTTATTGGTGCTAGATAATGATCATATTTGCTTTGAAAATTGACAAAATACAAACTAATAGCTACTACAAACTATGTTAAGATTTCTCCAAGTGTTTTCCACTATTCATAAAACAAGAGAAAACAACTTCACACCTTTTCTTCTTCTTGGGATATTGGAAGATCAGATTCAAATTCAGAGGCAAGATTACAGCCAATACCAGTAAACAAATATTTCACTGCAATCAATTTAATCTCTCTACAAGTGAATTTATCATTAACATTTAGTGCAACAACTTCAGATGCAGTGATTTCAGCTTCAGTCAGTGCAATGTCAGCCATCATTACAACCTCACTGTGAAGTAAAGCTTTAACATTTGCAGCCTGATAGCCAATTGTAGTACCATCTCCCACATTCAATGTAACGACATCCTAAACCTTTAAAATTTCACTGAAAATTTAACTTCAGAACATACAATTTCTATCTCAGTTTAGTAAACATGGCAAGTGTAGCAGGTAGCACAACCTATTTAACATTTAATGCATTTTTACAGGCTGACACTCATGTTTTAATAAATATATTTTTGTATTTCATCATTTATGTTTTTTTTAATTTAAAATTAAAAACGTCATTTTTTTATAGCTATCACTTTTTTTTTATTTTGGGTAACCAGTAACCACAATAAATTTTGCCTGAAACAAAAAAAATGTTTTTCTTTAACTCAGCCAACCAAACAACTATGTCACCAGAGGCCATGAACTCAACACTAAATGGCACTGAGCTCACAACATTGGCACCAGGTAAGCTTCCTTTAGCAGAGCTAAAATGTTATGATGAGCTACGTTCATATCCAAGAATATTCTATATTCTATATATGTTCAATAAAATTTCTTCATTCACTTCAACAGGCAATGGAACAGAGTCAACAACCAATGAAACCACAACACTAATGTCTGATCCAACATCTTCAGGTAGTTTTACTTCTACCACATTGAAACTGCAATGATGATCTGGTTGTTTGCTGTGCAACAAGTCTATTAGACCTTGTTAGATTAAATTTTAATTAAATCTCTGCATTCAAATTGACAGCCAATGGTACAGAGTCGACAACCAGTGAAACCACAACACAATTGACTCAGCCAACAATCTCAGATAGTCCTACTTCTACTACAATGAAACTATAATGTTGATCTGATTGTTTGCAAAATATCAATCAATAATCTATGAAACCACAAAAACAGAAGAAACTCAGACAACACTTTCAGGAAATTCTAGTGTATTTTATCTGATTATGCTGTGCAACAAACCCAACAGGCTTTTAATAAAATCTCAGCATTCGTTTCTGCAACTAATACCACAGAGTCACCAGCTACTGTAACTGCAACAACACAACAAGCAACTCAGCCAACAGGTTCAGGTATTCACACATCTACCATAATCAAACTTTTAACATGAGTTGATTGTGTGCCAATCAATTAAATATGTACCACTGTCAAAATCATATTGCATTTTCTCCTATTTTAATAATGTCCATCAAATCTTTTAATTAAGCTCTATTTTTCACTTCAGGTATACAGTCCCTTTTATTAATAAGATAGAAAAGGTTTCATGGGCCAGTATGTCTGTGCGGGAATTTTGTTGCTCAAGTAGTGGTGTGCTTAGGTTTAGTTCAGGGGTGTCAAACTCCAGTCCTCAAGGGCCACTGTCCTGCAGTTTTTAGATATGCCACAGGTACAAAACACTGGAATGAAATGGCTTAATTACCTCCTCCTTGTGTAGATACGTTCTCCAGAGCCTTGCTAATGACCTAATTATTCTAATCAAGTGTGGTGGAGCAGAGGCACACCTAAAAGTTGCAGGACACTGGTCCGTGAGGACTGGAGTTTGTCCCCTCTGGTTTAATTGGAAAAAAATAATTTAATTCTTGTACAATCCTCATAAAATTCAAAATCCTCCTGGTACTTTTCAAAGTAGTAGGTCTAACTGCTAAAGACAAAAAATGCGTATGTTAGAAGGATATTGATCCTAAAAATAATTTCTATTAGTTTATGCTAACTTGTTCTGTGTTTAACTCCCAAAATTATTTAAGACATGATGCTTTTGCAATATACTCCTGAAATTTGAAATAAATAAATAAATAAATAACGATCTGTATATGTCACTACATAAGCCATATTTAAACAAATATTATTTCCATGAATATTGTTCTTTTAGGTAATGTAACTTCAGAGGCAGTCATGAACATAACAACTACACCATCAATCACCACCATGCCAGCTAATCAAATATTTACTTTCATCAAGTTCTCACTGACTGTTCCAATAACTTTTCAAGTTATCCTAATTTTAGGGATTGCTTTTTTAGTTTAGCTGGTTGGTTAGATTTTTTGTAGTGAACTGATTTGTTTGTAACGTGTGATAACAAGTCAAGACAATCTCGTCCAGCATCACCAGCAGCCAACGTCACCTCACCTCCAGTCACTGAAACATCTGTGGCAGTCAGTGGAACATCACCAGCAGCCAACGTCACCTCACCTACACTCACTGCAACTTCTGTGCCAGTCAGTGCAACATCACCAGCAGCCAACATCACCTCACCTCCAGTCACTGCAACTTCTGAACCAGCAAGTCCAACATCACCAGCAGCCAACACCACCTCACCTCCAGTCACTGCAACTTCTGAACCAGCAAGTCCAACATCTCCATTCAGTACATCTTCACCAACAGTTACCATGAGTTCAACAACAGTAAATACAACACTACCCACATCACTACCAGGTAATTTTCTGTTAATAACTGATTTATATGTTGGATTTAAGAAGAGAAGTATGACAAACTTATGTGTACCTGCTATCTCTCAAATTGCAAAACATAAATTTTTATCGTTCACATTGCTCCAAAACAACAGCAATCATGCCAATTCTTGCCATCACACCAGCACAATCAAAATTTAATGGCAATGATATCTTGAATGAATGTTTGTGATTGTATGAGTCTTCAATGTCTTGATTTCACATTCTGAAGTAGATTGTATAATTTTTCTCTTATGCTTAGAAATTACATCCTATGAATAAACTCTCAGGGACTATCTGAACACAGCACAATAAACATTCACCAAAAAGATGTCCCCAACAGTTACAATGAGTTTACTAGCTGTTAGTAAAGTAGCACACAATACCACTTGTGAGTTTCACTTAGAGTTTGATTAGACATGATGAACCTGAACTTAGTGTTTGAATTTCTACTAGTCGGTGCATATGCATCATAAAACTTTGCATCTGAACTACTTAACACAATTTCAATATGATGTTTAAATTACTAAAATTTATTCTACCACCAATCACAGCAATTACAAATAGTGTTTTGAATCATTGATGTGTTGAATATTTATGTATTGGAAAAAATACATAGTTTTAAGTAATAATTTTTAAATGTTTTTGTTCTGTTTAGCAACTTCACAGCAAACAGGTACAACGACACCATCTACTCTGTCACCTGTCAGCCAAACCTCAGTACTTCCCACCGCAACTTCGCCACCTACAACGCCATCAACTAAACCAACAACTACTACAGCTACTACAACTCCTGCTACAACTACAACCACAACACCTGCACCACCACCTAGGCCAAAAGTTAAATTAGAATTTAAGGTGCAGCAAGAATTCAAACAGGAGTTGGAAGACAAAAACTCAACAGAGTTCAAAGATCTTGCGAAAAATGTGACTTCAGCAGTAAGTTTGTTTATTGTTCAAAGTTATATTCTTTAAAGTATTATACTGTTGTAAATTTTTAAAGACAAGCATCCAAAAAATTGCAATATTAGATAAATACCAGTGTACTATGTTTGAAAAACAACATAAATATTTGAAATTAACATACTTTTAGACTGATGCTTGAAATAAACATGCTTACACAATCTATGATGTATATTTTTATCTAAAACTTTTGTTTATTGAGAAAATGTGTCTAACAAAAACATTTCTAAACTTTTTTTTAGATTACAATAAAAATGCATATGAGGAAAAAGTAAAATGGCTAGTGTTGTTATATTTATATAATGATACATTTATATAATGAAACACATTTCTGGTGTTTTTTCTTCTAAAACTCTTAACAGCTCAATGAAGTCTATTCCGATAAATTTGGATCTATTTTCAATCGAACTGAGATCATCGGATTCAGGTATAAACAAGACATTTCCATCCCTTTATTTTTCAAAAGCAGTACACTTGTTTTGTAATGCAGAAAACTATTCCTTTGTTTTCTGCATTATGAAATGCAGAAAACAAAAACAAACAAAAAATATATATATAAAATTTCTATTATTTGTGTTGCAGACGAGGATCAATTGTCGTCGACTCTGAGCTGATATTCAATAACATCACAGAAATACCAGAAGCCAATGTCATTGCTGAGTCTTTAAAGAATGCGAGCTCTACCCCAGGTTTCGGCCTTGCTGTCAACACGTCTTCTATTTCTGCAGATGGTAAGGTTTATTTACTTCCACTTAAAAATGTTGACTAGCGTAAATTACCCGTATGACGGAAACTGCTAGATCTATTTTTATATGTTAAATGCTTTTGTTTCATGTAGTGTATGCAGGGTTGCCAAGACTCTTCCAGAAAGAGACTCAAACCTTCCATTTTTCTGCATCTAACTCTGCTCAGATGTATCTCACTTTAATTAAGTAAAACACTTGCACTCAAAGCAAGATATTTTTTTCTACACTGCTTTCTGTGATTGTGTAAACATAGTACTACTACTCAGATAATTTTCTCTAGGTTTCTGTTCACTCTACAGGTACTTTCAGTTTTCGTGGTGCTGCATGAGCACTACAGAGTGATTTAAGTGCTCAGGCTACTCCAGAGTAGCTTTATAACGTGGTTAGGATTTTTTGATTCAGACTTCCTCACTCTTGTTTTAAATCTGCTAGTCCTCTCTGATGTCTGAGGTTGGAGTTTATGTACTACCTAACCTGCAATCCAAAATCAACCCCTTGGTTTTTTGAATATTAGCCTCTTAGACCTGGAAGAGTCACTTTGGATACATTTTAATATTTCTTTGTAAATTATCCTTGTTTGTGTTGGCACAATTATTAGTTAGCAGTGGTAGAGGACACCTAGCATACCTAGTATCAGGAAGTCTTCCAAACATAAAGAGCAAATAAACATTCTCACCTTAGCAATTGTATCAATTTGTTAAAGTAAAACATCAGGCATTAATAATAAAGCTTGTTCAATTCACTGCAAAGTTTATTGGGTAAAGAATTTGATTTTTCACAATAAAAAAGTGCCAGAAATATTGCTCGTTTAAAACTTGTCACATTCACAGCCCAGTCTTACTCCAAGAAAACCAAGTGTGAGAACAAAGTTCAGAACAAATTCAAGAACTAATTCAAGAACAGACAATAACCAAAAGCAGAGTCACAGATTTATTTTTTCTTCTTTTAGTTGAAATTCCAACAACTCCATTACCAACAACTACCATCCCAACTACGCCTACGACATCAGTGAGCATGACATCCATAACAGGTATTTTCTATTATTTGAAAAGGAATATTGTGCTTTCATTATTTTAACAAACCGTGGTTATTTAATTATCTTTTAAAATGAACAATGAATGCAATGTATGGACAGCGGTGATATTTTGAAAACTGTTTTATGTAATTATATTAAGCTAAATGTTATATATTCTTACCTCATGAACATTCACAAATAACCTCCCTAATATTCAACATGACTTCATCACAACTTAATGCAGCCTCACCAACACCAGACACAACTTCTGTGCCAGTCAGTGCAACATCACAAGCAGCCAACATCACCTCACCTCCACTCACTACAACTTCTGTGCCAGTCAGTGCAACATCACAAGCAGCCAACATCACCTCACCTCCAGTCACTGAAACTTCTGTGTCAGTCAGTGCAACATCACCAGCAGCCAACGTCACCTCACCGCCAGTCACTGCAACTTCTGTATCAGTCAGTGCAACATCACCAGCAGCCAACATCACCTCACCTTCAGTCACTGCAACTTCTGTATCAGTCAGTGCAACATCACCAGCAGCCAACATCACCTCACCTACAGTCACTGCAACTTCTGTATCAGTCAATGCAACATCACCAGCAGCCAACATCACCTCACCTACAGTCACTGCAACTTCTGTATCAGTCAGTGCAACATCGCCTACAGTTGACATCACCTCAACTCAATTCAATGGAACCTCACCAACAATCACCAGGAGCTCAACAACAGTCAACATAACCTCAACACCCATTTCCACATCACTACCAGGTAGTTATTTAAAGTTTGATTGAACGTGATGCTCCTTAACCATGTGTTTGAAGTTCTACTTGGGTCAGTGCCTGTTTATCATGAAATATATCTGAACCACCTAATATAATCTCAATATGATGTTTATGCTGCGAAAATAAATTCACTAGCAATTTCCCTAACTCTGAGAGCTCAGTGCAATTACAAATAATCTTTTGAACCATTAATGCTTTGAATGTTTAATGAGAGAAATTATCAAGTTACATAGTGATTATTTATAATACTAAACTCTTTTTGCTCGATTTAGAAAATGTTCCTATATAGAATATTTATATTAATACAATCTCACCAACAGTCAATACAACTTCTGTACTGGTCTTTCCAACAGCACCAGAAGTTGACACAACCCCTACTCCTCTCAATGCAACTTCTGTTCCAGTCATTTCAACATCACCAGCTGCCAACATCACCTCACCTTCATTCAGTGCAACTTCACCATCCACTGTGTCACCTGTAAGCGAAACGTCAGCACCTACCATCGCAACTTCCCCAACAACATTACCAACAACTACAACTACGACAACTCTTGCTACAACTACAACTACAACTACAACACCTGCCCCACCACCAAAGCCAATACTGAGGTTACAGTTTAAGGTACAGGAAACATTCAAACCGGCGTTGACAAATAAAGAATCACCAGAGTTCAAAACCCTTGAGAAAAGAGTGACTGTTGAGGTAAGTTTGGTTCTTATCGTTTATAATTGTCATATTCTTCATGGCATTACAATATTTTAAGCTTTAAAAGCCCAGCATTCCAAGACATTGCAACATTATATAATTCCCAGTGTGCCATTTTTGCAAAACACCATGATGTATGACATCATGATATATATCTATTTACTGTTTTTTTTTCTCTTCTAAAATTTTTAACAGCTCGATGGAGTCTATTCCAACAGATTTGGGCCTATATTCAACCGAACTGTCATCAAAGAATTCAGGTATAAATAAGACATTTCAAGCAACTGGATTTTTAAAAGCAGCATAGTTATGATTTCATGCAAAATGTTCCTTGTCATTTCAGTCATGACAAAGGCTCTTGTTGCTTTATATCTGCCTGATATAGTTTACAAAATATATATAAACTATTTGAAATATGTTTTATTTCTGTTGCAGACAAGGATCAATTGTAGTTGACTCTGAGCTGGTTTTCAATAATGAGACAGCACTACCAAATACCAGTGATGTTGTGGAAACTTTAAGGAATGCAAGCGCCAGCCCAGGTTTCAACTTAACTGTCAACGCAACTACTATTGCTGCAGAAGGTAAAGTTTGCTTCCACTTTCAAAATGTTGAAACTGCTAAATTTGTGTTTCTTTAAGTGTTCTGTTTCATGTAGGGAAAGACTCTGATCTGCCCTTATTTCCTCTATCTTTAACTCTTCACTTTAACTAAGCAAAGCACCTCCAATCAAAGCAAGACATGTTTTTTCTACACAGCTCTCTGTGATTATTTTAACATGGTAGTACTTGGAGATTTTTCTCTGGGTTTCTGAACACTCTGCTGATGACTGCAGTTTTGGTGCTGCTGCTTGAGTATGATACAGGGATTTAGGTGGTCAGGATAGTCTAGTTGAGGCAGGTTTATGCTTTGGTCCTCTCTATCTCTGAATCAATTTTTCATGTCTGTGTTTCTGTGTCATTAGTTAGCTGTGGTCAGAGGATACTGAGTTCTTTTGAGGGATCCCAGGAGTTTTCCAAACTCAAAGAGCAAACAAATGTATTCACCTCAGTAATCTGATTTATCTATTTTACCAAATCATCAAGCATTAACAATACTTGTCCATATAATTCCAAAGGCTTGATATAATAACTAACATAAAGCCTTATATATATAAGCTCCACCTAAAAGCTTAGAAGTGGGAGATTTCCAGCACTACCAATAAATAATAGCAGTCACTGATGTGTTTTTTTTTCTTTTTAGTTGTAGTACCAACTCAACCACCTCCAGTCCCAACTACAGCTACAACAACACCAACAACAGCAAATATGACTTCTGCAACAGGTATTTCCATAGAACATTTGAAAACAATTATTATGCTTTGTTTTTGTTTTTTTTTACCAGACCATAATTGTTTCTTAAAATGACCAATGAATGTAATGTCTGGTAATTTATAGTATTTTTTAAGTGTTTCACATCATTCTTTTGAACAAACAATAATATACTCATAAACGTTCATTAACAAGCTCCGTAATAATGAACATGACATCACCATGACATACTTCACCACCAAATATAACTTCACTATCAGTTAGTTCAACCTCACTTACATTCAATACACCTTCACCATCAGACCAAAATCTACAGCAACCTACATAGCATCGCCTCCTCTCAATGCAACTTTAACCTCACCCATCAGAATCACCCATTGACAGTCATTATAAGATCACCAGCAGGTTATAGTTTGGCTTCAAATGAAGCAAAACTAAATTCTATGAATGGAAGGTTATGGAAAGTGTGAAGGTGGAATGGTACATTTCAATCTGCAGCTTATGTTAAAAACCCAGATCTGGTTTTATTAAACTTGATACTGAACCTTTGAAGTCTTAAATACTTTTATTGTTTTTTGTGAAAATAACAATAATATCAATCCAACAAATAGAACATTTGCGAGGTATTTTATTGTATTTTTCACTAAACTAACTTTACCACCACTAATTGCTCACCAGACAGACCCCATGACAACAACATCCCTAGCACCATATTGCATTCACATTGCATTCACATAGTTGTTGCCGAGAAGTCTCGGCAACAACTATTTCTCCAACTGTGATTTCAACAGGTAACTAAAAGACACAGCCTTTTTGTATAGTTTAACTTCCTCTAGAAAACAGAGACGAGGTGATTTTTGTATATTCACTCAATGCAACTCTACCAACACTTGATGCTGTTTTCCAATTGAAAAAAGAAAGTCCTTTTGTGTCATGAAGTATAAGATAATTATTAAAAGCACCAGAGAGGCTAAGCTTGGTTTATTCCTTCCACAAGCTTTGAAGTCTTAAAGATTTCTTAAGTTATTCTTATAATAATAATAATAATAATAATAATATCTTTCCAACAAATAGAAAATTTGCGAGGTATTTCACTGTACTTTTCACTAAACTAACTTCATCGCCACTAATTGCTCACCAGACAGACTCCATGACATCAGCATCACAAGCACCATATTGCATTCACATTACTTTGCAACCATTATGACTGCAATATAATATGAGGGAAACTTTGCTTGATCATGATTTTTAATTAAGCAGTTTCCTATGTGACTTCATCTACAGCAAATGCAACCACACCAGTAACCGACGCGACCCAACCTCCAACCAATGCAACCACACCAGTAACCGACGCGACCCAACCTCCAACCAATGCAACATCACCAGTAACCCACGATCCCTCACCTCCAACGACTTTGAC